AAAAAAAAATATTGCTAGAATACATTTTTAAAAAAAATATTACCAGCTATACAATTTTGAAAAAAAAGATTACCTGTAATACATTTTTTGAAAAAATATTACCGGCAATACATTTCTGAAAAAAAGATATCACCAGCAATACATTTTTTAAAAAAGGTATTACCAGCAATACATTTTTGGAAAAAAAAATTACCAGCAATATATTTTTGAAAGAAAAAATATTATCAGAAATGCATTTAAAAAAAAATATTTCCAACACTACATTTTTAGAAAAATAAAATTAAAAGCAATAAAAATCTTGTCGGCATTAAATAACCCATTGAGGTTGATATACCGTAAAATAGAACAAACCAAACCATTATATAATGGGAAGGAATAGGAGAAACATTAAGTTTGAACAATGAAAAATATTTACCAATTATTACTAGTACCAAAGGGCATAACAAATAATGAATCATTCTACAGTCTGTAGTTTATTGCGAAGTTCTTTGTAAAGACAACTGGATCATAAATAACAGACATGTTGTGAAAGATTACTGGTTTCTGGCGAGAAACGGTTGCATTTTATCAGACATTTTAGAGCGAAAACATTACGACTGTTAAAACGGTGTGAAGTTGGAATAAAGAAGCTGTTGAGTTCAATGGGCCAGACAAATGGTGCAAAAGCTGGGTGGCTACTGGTAGGAACCACCCTCACAGACATCCAAACATTAAAAACGGCGTTATGTTTTGGGAGTGGAACAAAAGGTAGTGATATAGTGAGTCTATGGTGAGATGATTTTAAGATGGCAACTCAGACATATATAGATTTTTAAAAAGCGCTTTTGGAACGATGGACTAAGAAGTCGAATACGGAGAAAGATGAAATGTATGCTTAAGAAAATTTAATTTAATTTAATCTTTCCGATTGATACAGCAACAGAAATCTAAGAAGAGAAATATTGTCATACTGCCAATGTCATACATGTAGAAACCACCCTTTAAGACGAAATCATTCAAGGTGTCGGCAATATTGCCGTGGAAGACACCCCCTCTTCATAGCAAAGTGAAAGTGTTGGTTGTGTCACCGGGACAGACTTAGCACCTTTTCTTAACTCGGTTATATTAGAGTAGATCAAAAGTATTTTATAATTTTAAGACTGATTTTATATATCTATCTAAAGACTGCATAACTATCTCTCCTCTCTCTCTCTCCTCTCTCTCTCTCTCTCTATATATATATATATATATATATATATATATATATATAGTATGGGTAATAAATCTGTTGGTGTATAATCCTAGTGGATCTTAGTAATATAAAATATTAAAAAATGATCCACAAAAAGAGCTCACTGTATTTATTATTACAGAACAAAAATTAATACACAATAAAATCCAAAGTCACCTCATATGGGGGAATAAGCTTATTTCGACCGATGAAAATATAATTCGTCAGTTTTATTCAACCTTGGAATAGACTGAGTTCAACTCTTTCAAAGAAATTTTGGGAATTGAAGGAGAAATGTTTGAGCCCACAGATAGTTTAGAATATTATTGGTTTCACACGTACTCCTAATAGTCTTAAAGATATGTGTGACTTATATTTACAAGAAAAAAAATTAAAATAATAAAATACAATAATCAAAGCCAACTATTGAATCAGAGGAATGAATTAGTATTAAAATGTCGCCATAAAAACAAATTCAAATTTCCATAATTTAGGTTTTACTTAATAAGCTACTATATTTCTCTAACTCTTCAAATCTCGAATGTATAACAAATTCTAATTTCTATATTCCCATCTTTACACTATATCAATTTGTAAATTGTCCCGGTTCTAAGAACTCTCTTTCTTTTTATCACTTACGTCTCTTTATCTACATATTTTAAGGTTGTTTTTAATATAACTTTGTATTTTTGAGTATAAATTTGTATTTTTAAGTATAACTTTGTATTTTTAAGTATATCTTTATATGTTTAAATATAACTTGTTTTAGATCTAACTTATGTTTAATTATAACTTTTTTATTTTATCTTTTATAGATTTATTTTTAAATATATAATTTATTCTATCTTATACTTTTATTTTTAAATATATTTTTTATTTTAAAATATAAACTATTTTTATTATATATAACTAATTTTTGAATATAATTTTACTTATTTTTAAATATAAATTATTTAATTATATCTTATTTTTAAATATAACTTGTTTTTGGAATATGACTTTGTGTTTTTAGGTATGGCTTTGTATTTTGAAATATAACATCATCTACATATTTTGATGTTTTTAACCCCTTTTTATTCCTGTCTTAGTTTTAAATTAACATTTCATTCTTCATATAACCCTAATTTAATGTCATAAGGTTAATATCCGGGTATAATTTTATAAAACCCCTTTCCTTTAAGACAAATACCTCCCACCCTCTCTAACCACGGTCTCTTACCCGTCGTCTGACTGTATTAGCTTTTCAAAGTTTTTTTTTTTGTAGGTTTCACAGTTAAATTTCTATTTCCG